TATTATATCAATTATATTGCTTTTTAAACAATCGGTTCAGTTTTTTACTGAAATCTAGGACTTCTCTTTTTTTTGAGATCTGTTTTTATGATAAGATTTTCTTTGGCATTTTTCTACTTATATAAATTTTTTCCTTTAATTTACGAATTATCTTCAGTATTTATTTTATATGATTAGTCAACGCAGGCTATTTGTAGATTAAAATTGTATTATTAAATACATTTGTTGAATGTGGATTGTGTATAGATTTTTGTTTCGTCAACTGAGGAAACGGAGATTTCATGATCCTTTTGACAAATCAATTTTATAAAATTAGACAATTTATGCATGATTTAAATAAGTTTTATTGATACAATCATTTTTGTATGTATTTGTACATACAATCGTGTATATATATATTTTTTTGTTCTGTTGCTGCTCTTTATTTTATTTAAAATATTTATATAGTTTTTGTAATATTTATAAATTGAATATTTTATGTAGATATTTTATTTAATGTGAGAATATATGCTGATAATACTTGTATATATTAACTTACGTTCAGCTAGAAAATATACTATATGATTCTGTTGCTATTTAAATAAATTTTTTTTTATATTAATACATAAGAAATCTTTTTATTGTTATCTATTGCTTAGAAAAACAATATTAATGAAATATGAAAAAATTTTAAAAATAACGCTAAGTATTTTATATAAATAAGCTTTATGCACAGTTACAAAACAAAATTTAAATGATAAAAAATTGGAAGAGACATCGTACTATATATGAGTGTAAGCTTATGAGATAAATCCTGTTTGCTTCAAATGAAAAATTTAAATATTTTTATATATATATTAATACATAAGTACATACGTATATATATAATTATATGTATACACATATATTTTTAAATATATACAGATATCCATATGTACACATGTATACAGATGATATCCATATGTATACATGTAATTATGTATACATATATTTACGTATATTTAAGAAAACGTATTTCTATATATGCAAAATAATTATTTTTACTATTTTGATATTTTTAACACATTAAACGCCGATTTGTTTTTCTTTTTCAATAAAATTTCATTATTTCTAATATTTGGGCAAATGTTTAAGCCAAAAAAAAATATTGTATGTATTTAATAGTAATTCAAATAATATTTTTAACAATTTTCAAGCAAATCTTGTTTACTACATAGCATTTCGTTTTGGGAAGAAAAATTTTATTTTAATTGGCCATTAAAAAAAAAATTTCACTATTGTTCGGAAGTTTTTAATAGAGGCGAAATTTTAAATTTGACCGTAAATTAAAGCTTCAGTTTTAACTGTTCTAAGTTCACTCACAATTATCAAATTGTGTGAAGTTTGTAGAAAAAAAAACTACACTCAGTTATATCAAGTTAATTATTATAGAGCAAATCGACTATAAGCTGGTACCTAATTAACTCGATAACCTACATGCACACATACACATTGTTATAATTTTCAAACTGAAACTTATTTATATTGTAATGAAGTTTATTTTCCGGCTTTTCTGTCGAGTACAACATCTACAGAACATAACAGATCAGATTCTTTAACAAGAAATATTATCAACTGTGATAGACTGACTTATCTTGTTATAATTTGATGTGTTGATCCAGCTAATTGGATTGGGATTGATTTTTCATCAAACAAAAATCTAGGAGATTATTTAAAAAATTTTCAAGTTTGGGACTTATAAATCTCCCTTGAAGTAAATTTCTGGCTACTACGGGTCTGTTAAGTACTAAATTAATGAAACTTAAAATGATTAATGTGTCTTTTAATTGTACAGTGTCTTTGGCTTTGTAGGTCTTTGTATACCAAAGAGGTTTTCGAACTATTTGGGTTATAAAATCTGATTTTAAAAGAATACGTTGTCACTATACGTTGCGTACTAGGATTTTGAAATAAAATCGTGAAATTATTTAATATATGCTCCTAAATGATTAACTTATGAATAAATTAAAATGTATTTAATTGGATTGATATTTTTCATGTGATGGAATAAAAAGTAATTATATGTAACAAATACATAGGTAATATTGCCAAGAATGATTTGTAGCTAGTTTGCGCTTTCAAGAAACACAGAAGTAGCAAAAGTTCAATGAAATGCGATGGAAACGCTCGACATTAATATTACCTGATCTGGTATAAGGTGGGGCTGTATACATTTTTATATTAAACGAATTTTCCAACACAAAATAGCATAATCAATTAAGACATTTTCTGTTATAACTGTATCAGAAGTATTTTCTGGAAGTTGAATGATATCTTCGTAGCAGTTCTTAAGTTGAGAGTATTTATTAAGAGTTATTTTGTTTTAAATTTCTTACCAATAGTTTTTACAAAATCAGCAAAAAGTTAAAAACTTTTAAGTCTCCAAGTAGTTTTCAATTTGTATCGGTTATAGATTTTTAAGATTAAATAAACTTTCACACATGGCTATTTAAACAACCACCCACTTTAAGGCCTTAACATTCATTTTCTTATAAAATTAGTGTACAAAATTTGCTTAAAATTTTTTGTGATTTGTAATTTTGTAATTATATTAGATATTTCCATTTTCTTAAAAAACTGTGGTTATAGTGTATTACTGTATTTATTTCTTGTACTAACAGTTCTTTATTCGTTGTTCGACATACTACAAATTCATTTTCATTTATAATCTATACAATATTTCTTCTTCAACTATTCAGCTATTGCAAAAAGTGAGTTCTGTACACGAAATGGGTAAAATCGGTTAAATTTTTTATTTTAATTTTTTAATTCCATTTATTTTTAAAGCAATCTTTTTTTATAAATACTTAGAGTTAATCCCTACAACTAGTCAGTTCTTGCGCTACAACCTAGACATTACATCAAGTTCTGCTTCAATATACATATACCTATAAAATATTACTTAACCACTTGTAATTAATGGGATATTGCATTTTAAAGTGAGGGCTTCACAATATATATGTTATACTCGCCGCAGTAGAAAGTGGATTTTAAGTTGACGTTGACCAAATTAAAGCATAGACCAAGAGATTTAAAAGAGAAAATATTAAATTGTTATGAAAGGTCAAATAATATCAATATGTTAATAAAATCATTAAATTATTAAAATGTAACAAATTATTATTAAATTATTGAAATGTATTAATAATTTAATTTAAGTTAATTTAATAACTTAAATTTTACTCATACATTTTTAAAAATATAAAAATAATATAATATTATTAATTATCTTATATTAAAGAATAAAAGAATAGTCAAATAAATTTTTTTTACTTTTATATTACATTAATTAAATTATTGTTTAATAATATATTGTTAATGTTTTTAAGAAATAAGAAGTGATTTAATATTTAAAAGCCAAGACATTTTTACAATCTCTCCGATGATCTCCGAGTACTTCGGTCATTTGTTTGTGTCCCTTTTATAAATACATATTATATTAAAACAACTACAATTAAATTAATTGACTTGAAACTAATTTATATATAGAATCAAACATCTTTTCTATATAAAATAATTCCAGTATATTTTATTTCTCTGCTGCGGCATTAGTAATAACTTTTGAATAGATTTGTAAATGATCAATGTTTCTTATAACAAAATTCTATTATATGACCGATTGATTACAAGGAACACTCTGTAAAATGTGAGTTCAGTGATTATTTCTTTATAAAAATCATTAGGTGAGTAATTCTTATGGAAATACCTCATATAAATGTTTCTGAGCGGCGTTAAATGTGTTAAATAAAAAATAAGTTTTTATTGCATTAATATTTTTCTCTCATATATGAAAAAATATTAACTTGAAAATAGTTTACTAGCTTTGTTACTGTTATATATATAACGTTCCTTATATATATATAATGTTTCTATTTATTGTAAATATTCTGTATTTGTTCCATTCTTTGTTTTGTGGAGAATAAAATAGTTTATTTTTACTTGTAGACTGTAACTTTATTTTTTAATTTTTAGTTTTGTTCACATTTACGAATTTATTTTTTTATTTCAACTACAATTTAGTATATTAATAATTATTTTTTTTAAGTTTTTTTTCTCAATAATTGCACAATAAGATAATTGTAAGGAAATTTTAGTATATCCTTTAATAATTGTAATACACATATAAACATTTTTTTATTTTGCTAATACTTATTTTTTACTTGGGAATAATTGAATTTAATTTTTCATAAATTTATTGATACAATCAAAAATAGATGTAATTTCAACATATTTTGTATCTTATGGTAAGTAAAACTGTTTAAATATATTAAAATCCATTTATTTCGGTTGTTATTTTGAGCGTAGAAATTTTATTGTTTGTAACAATATATATATTTTTGCATTGTAAATTGTTATATGGGGGCCAACATTTGTCAATTTTTTAAATATATAAATTGTCAAATTAAGCTTCTCAAATATATCATCTCTTCCATAAAAATAAAGCAATTAATATATAAATATATATATTTACATATACATGCATTTTATATTTTGTAATAACTTATGTAAACGTAAATATATATATGTATATATTTATCTAATGTGACTTTAATAAAATTTAAACTACATAAAATTTAAATTGTTTGTAAACAATTCATAATAGTCCATGCCTATTTAAATAGACTTCCTTAAAAACATAAAAAAAATATTTTTTGTATATATTCTAATACAAATATAGATAATTGAGACAACAAACTTTTAAATTACACAACAAACACTGAATAAGTTTTATCTTCAAAACCTTGAAATTTTGTTTAGATTTTTTTATAATTATTCCAATATTATTTAAGTTTATGGACACGTAATGTATAAATATATGCTTCTGTTATAGTAAATAGTTAATATGTTTGTTTAAATAGATTTTTGTTTTCTTATTTTGAAATATATGCATAAGTAAATATACTTGTATCTATATATTTATAAACAAATACATTAGTTTAAAAATATGTAATTATTTTGTTATTGGTATATATGTATTTGTATATGTATTTCAAATATTAATATTTCAAAGTATTTTTGTTTATATATCAAGTTTTCATTTGTCCATTAAGTGTTCTCTCTAAGTCGTTATATTCAGTTTTCTTAATTCTTGTCTTGGCCAAGATTGGGCACTTCTTCAGTATTGTGAGGTATCTGTAAATAGATATACAAATATATCTAGTTAGTAATTAGTGATTAGTAATATCTAGGGTTAGTAATTTGGTGTACTTTTGCACATCATTTTGATATTGTTCGTTTTAATTATTTTAACTGAAACATATATTATTATTTGTTTATTTTTTTAATTTAATATAATAGTAGGTAATATGCATAACAATACTAAATATAATTATATCATTATATTGTATTATTTTATATATTCATGTACAATATATATATTGTGTACTAATTATACACATTTATTTTATTCCCCTTTATTACTTTTTATTTAGTTAAATTTTATTTCTATTTTTTTATTGATTTAAATTTAATATAATTCATTATATTTATAATAGTTTATTTACTTAAATTATTTATTTATTTTTCATTTGTTAGTTTTTTTATTATATGTATAAATACAAAATTTATACATGTATTCTATAATTCAAATATTTTTCATTATTTGGATTAATTTATATACTTTTTTATATTAATCACATATCCGTTTCTATAAAAAAAGAGGGGAATTAAATCAATTACTCTTGAATACTATTTTATATAAATAATAATAATTTATTTATTATTATCGAATCTAGATATTTGAATATATATAATTGTTTTTAATAGCAATAGAAGGTTTAGATTTGATCAAAATTGATAAAGGAAATATATCCCAAATTATTTGAAACCGAGAATTGCTTTAAAAAAAAAACAATGTATGCTCCACAGTGTGACTAGATATTTCTCAGGCGTTCAATAACATAAACCAAACCATACATAACAAATTGTTACATTTTTAATAAAACTTATATGACACCTTATAAAACTTATAATTTCTTAAAATTTTTACCTATAATCAAGTACCAAAACTTATGTGGACTACAGCATACTGATATTGGTATGAAGCTTTTACAGCCATATGATGATTTTTCAATGTGTTCAAACTAAACAAATATTAAGATTCTTGATAGGTGAAATACAAATAATCCAAATATAAATAAACTAATTCAGTATATATATGATGAATTTATGCAATTAGTCATCCCAAATGATACAACACGTAGACTAAGACGTACTAAGCTCTTTGACCTTAATAGATGCCAAAAGGGTGAGCTAGTAAAAATACTGATCTTATAATAAAAATTATTAATAATATTAATTCATTTTTTACATACTTAATTATATAATTGAATTATTAGATATTAATATTAAATCCAGGTTCAAGATTGATATCCTTTATCGTAGTATTCAAGAATTTTATAAGATTTGATTCATATTCAGTTTTATATTCTTTTTTAATATATATTTTTCCTTTTTTGTTTTTTATATTTACGTCGTTAAATTATTTCAAAATTAAACTTTTTTATAATTTTTTAAAATATATTTAGTGCAATTGATGAACAGTTTAAGCAAATATATTATTTTTGTATCACCATAATAATGTAGAGGTGTTCTAAAATGATTAGAATGTGCATTAAGTAATACTTGAACGAACGGCTTCTTAGTTTTATAGTAAATATGAAGCAGTTGAGAAGATATAAAAAACATTTTCCAAATAAAACAAATCGATCAGATAACTAATATTATTATAATATAAAGAAAGGAGTTCACTTAAAAATATAGTTAATAACAGTATTTTAGTTATTTAGTTGTACTATAAGAAATAAATAAATGAATACAACTGTAATAAATATATATTTATTTATTAGTATTATTAATATTAATGATAAATAAATAATAAATTTTAAGTGCGTAACCCAAAAACTGAAACTAAAATTAAAGTAAATAACATCTTTGTGTTATAAAAATAGTGCTTTTAAGCAACAAGCGCCTAGCACGTACCATATTAGCAGCACTTTTTCAACTGCTAATAGAAGAATTACTTAATGTTGATTGCAAATAAAATTATAATGGGAGAATTGGTACATTTGCATAAATTGAGTTCGTAAATTGAGTGTTAAAAATTAATAACGTTTGGTTCACCAATAAGAAGTATTGGTTGTTATATAGTAGAAAAGATTTTATGTGTGTTATTTATTAACATTTTTAAATAAAATATTCATGGGAATTTATTACTAATTAATTTGTACATAAAATGTATTATATTTATATACTGCAGTGGACTTTTTGTTCAGTGAAGTTGATAGAAGGTTAAAAAAAGAAGAATGAGGAGCGCACATAGGAATCCAAAAGTAGAAAATAGTTATTAATTTTTCTCCAAACAAATAGCAAATTGATTTTATTAAGTGTGCTTTCTTTATTTGTTTTCTAATAAGCTATTTAAGCCTTGCTAATAAAAAACATATATAATTCTAAAGTAAATTAAATAGAGATTTAAAACAAAAACAAAAATAATTATTCACACTTGTGCTAATAAAATAATAATAAATATAAGTTTGCTTGCCTTTGAAATTGGTTCTATTGTTGTAGCAACTCTGTTAATTCGTACTTTGCCATTGCTGCTGCTTTGTCCCCCAGTGCTGCGACCCCAACGTAATCTCAATGGTGCAGTTCTGCGTGCTTCACGTTCAAATTCATCTTCTGTAACAGTTAAGTCAATATCGTGGTTTTCATCGTTGTTGTACATATTCTTGTTATAGAATAATTTAGTATTAGCGTTTGCCTCATTATTGTACTGGTCTAGAGCCAAAAGAATTTTACGTAATTTTTCAGTATCTCTCAATGAGTTCAAAAATTCTTCAATGCGTGAGATTGATTGAGACATTTCATACTAAGAGTAGAGAAATATATTTTCGAAAGAAAAAATTATTATTTAAAAAGTTTAAAGTTTAAAGTTTGTTACAACTTACTTCCTCGCCATTATAGTTATTTTGTGATGAAGGCACACTACGTCCCCAACGTAAACGTTGTGGCTTACGTAGTACGCGCTCATAGCCGTCTATCATATTATTAAGTTCGACTTCAGCAACAGCAGAACCGGTAGTGTCATCATTTAAATCATTAAATACAACTGCATCCATGTCACTATGAATTGGTACAGAGGGATCACTACGTCGTCCGAAGCGTAAACGTAATGATGGGGAACGGATAGGCTTTTGATTGACATCTCCAAACCAACGTTTCTGTTCTACGGGTAACATATCTGGGTCAGTACGTCTTCCAAAACGTAAGCGTAATGATGGAGAACGTTGTGCTTTACGTTCAACTTGATGATTTGGAAAAACAATAGGACCCGCGTACTCACGCTGTAACATAATCTCATATAAGTCGTTCAAATTGTCTGTAAAGTGAAAAAAGAAATTGTGGAATTTTTTCTTTTAAAGTCTAGTTTTGTAAAAGTATACGCACTGTCGGAAGTTGCTAGCTCAGCAAACGCGTCCTGACAAAGTATTATTAAGCAAAGCGTTGCCAGAGCAAAAACAAATCGAACTTTTGGGAACATATTTTTAGCGTTCTAGCAAGCTTTTTAATGAGTAATTGGCTAATATTGTTTTTGTGTATCTGAAATAAAATAAAATATGCAAATAATTAAATAAAAATATTAATCTAATTGCATTTAAAACTTAAGAAAATAAACAGAAAAAATTAATTAAATATTTTTAAAAATATATTTAATTAAATAATATTGTGAATGATTGTAAAAATCTTGAATTTATGTTTTCTTTTAGATTTTAAACATTTTTTGAGTTAGTATCAATATAAAATACACAGAATAATTGTTTTTTTGTAATATGATTAATGAAATGAATAATTTTATATTATTTTAAGTATTATATATATTCAAATATATTTTAATGTGCACATTTCAACGCCTTACCCTCCAAAGGTAACCTCAGTAATGAGCTCGGCTAGGTACTACTGCTTTCTTGCAATCACATTTTTCACCTATGCCAATGTTATATTAGTATAAGTATTTGGTGGGTTCGAACATAAGCTATTCGTAAGGCTGTGTTCGTTAATATACTACTATATTCTGTCCTATCCATAATTACAGAAGATTTTATTTTACTTCAGCTGTACTCACAAGTCATATCTTTTTCCAGATCGATGCTTGTCCAATTGATTGGTGGATAAATTTCATTTGGAAAATTATTACTAACCATGTCTTCTTGTTTATTTAGAAAAAAGTGTCCGGTTATCACTACAATCATACTCTCAAAACAAATCTGTTAAAATTTAGAAGTTATTTGCTATTCTTCTGTGAGTAGTTCGAGAAGCATAGTTTCGTGTAATAAGAATCTTTCCAGTTAGACCAACTAGACCACTTATGGTTAACCTAATGTTATAGAATGTTAACACATCCTTTCTGAAGTTTGCTATCGCTCTTCTTCATTTTTCATCCAAAAACTATTATTATTATGTTACGCTCGTAGTGACCATATCCAGGACTAATACTTATTCACATGAGATATTCTATCTCAAAATGCAAAAAATTTGTGATTGTTTGATTTATGTCTGGAGTGCCTTTATTGTATATATATTATTACTTCTATTGCGGATCCGTCAACAGAAATATGTTAGTATTTTTTTTATCTACATCAGGTCGCAGCTAATTTATTTTTTACTGAACTCTTTTAAGTACTCGATATCTTCGAATTTAATTCTGAAGTGCATTTTAAAAGGTATAGCAGCTATTGATACAAATACCAATGTTTGTAGCTGTATCAAATCAGTTATTTCGTCTTTGTACTTGTTTGTAATATTGACATTCATTTTTTTTCTAATATATAGCTTAATTATATATTTGTTCGGCAAACAAAAATTCTATCTCGTCAATATTGACAAAGTCAGCACGTTCACTGGTTGAATCATTGGTAGCTATGGTTTTCTTTAATCTCCTCTCATCAAATTATTTCTATTTATGAGTCTAATTTGATCTAACAACCGTTCCTTTGAAATCTTAAAATTCTGTTGCAATGTTATAAATAATTCGCATAACGTTGTTTTATAAGCTGTCATACATGTTTGTAGTTGACACCAAACCTTAAACTATTTCTGAGTTTTAATTTTTCGTTGCAGGATAAAATATTTTGGATATACCTTGCGATCAAAAAAGAACTTATTCGTTCTTTTTTTGAATTCCCGCGCTTATCCAATGGGTACATTTTTTATTTTTACGCTGGCAACACTATTATACACTTTCTGTCAAAATTTAACGCATATCGTACGATTAGTTTTTGTTTGGCGTCTATACAAAGAAGTCGAAAAAGTTTCGTATGGCGATTTTTAGCTGAATTTCATTCAAAAAAAAGCGTGGTTGTGAAGTGGCCAAAGAGATGATATCCAACGCAGATAGTGACCCAACATTCATCGAATGCATCATAACTGGTGATGAGACATGGGTCTATGAATTTGACATTGCCCACCAAACAACAATCGACCGAATACCAAATGGTGCTTCGAAGGTGAATTGAAACCGAAAAGAGAACGGCCAAGTCTGTCCAAAATCAAGGTTATAATGACTGTTTTCTTCGATATTCGTGGTGTGGTGCACTATGAATTCCTTCCGGACGGTCAAATGGTCAAAGGAGTATTATTTGGTCGTTGTACGTCGTTTGCGTGAGGTCATTCACAAAAAGAGGCCAGATTTATGGAAGGAAAACTTATGGATTTTGCTCCACGATAACGCACCGGCTCACACAGCGTTGGTTGTGTCGCAGTTTCTGGCCAAAAACTCCACCAATATCATTAACCAAGCACCGTACTCTACAGATATGGCCCCGTGTGACTTTTTCCTCTTCCTCCGACTCAAATTGCCATTGCGAGGAACGCGTTTTGAGACCATAGAGGCCATAAAAGAGAATTTGCTGCGTGAACTAAAGGCCATACCTTCGGCGGCCTATAAAAGTTGTATGGAAAATTGGATCAAGCGTTGGCATGCATGTATTACCGCTGGAGGAGAGTACTTTGAAGGCAATAATAAAGAAAATTATTAAAAATTAAAATTTTGCGTTTTTGTTCAACTTTTCGTTCCTTTTTGATCAAATGGTATATTTAGGATGAATATGTGGAGCTTGTTTTGCACTAGTTATGGAACAAATACCGATACTTGAAAGCAGTATTGTAACTTACTAATTAATCGAAATTAATTCTTCAAAAATGTAATATATTTAATTTGTATTGTCACCTTATATCGCTCCCTCGTCTTATTTAGAGATATTATGATGATATATCCTCAATAAACATTTATTGTCGAAGAGTTGTAGGTAATGCAATGTAATGCCTTTAGTTTTTTCCTGCTGCTTTCTTCAAGAATCAGATTGAGATAAACGAGAGACAAACCGTGGCTAATTTGTAGGTTATTAGTATTATCAATTTTGTTTGGCGTATTACCATTTGGGTGCAACGTAATATAAAATTGCATATTGACTTTTTAGTGTTTGTAAAAGTCACGAGATTTTTTAAGAACAAATATATACAGTTTATCTGCCATATAAACATACAATGCTAAATCGATACTTGTGAATGCTTTTGTTTTTAAAACTATTTTTCTAAGATTTTTTCTTTGAGGTGATCAAAATGACTGACTTTAATTTATGAAAAAAATATCCTTAGAAATAAACATATATAATAACGAGTGAAAAATTTATTTGTTGTTAATTTTGATTTTCTTTCCCATTTCGTAAATTTATATAGTTTCAGTGCCTTTATAGTTTGTGTTCTAATATAAGAGACGAACTATTCCATAGCATAAATTGAAATTTTTATCTTTTCAAAAAATTTTTATTCTGTCTATAATTGTATACTACAGCTTTACTGCGATTTAGCTGATGTATGGCCCATTTCCTGATTAAAGACTTTGATATTCCGATACAAAAATGTTATAATCTTATTTTATTTTTAAGAATTTTTTTTTAAATTTTTTTTTTTTGTTGATAATGCCGTTGAAATTGTTTTAGCTAATCCAGCTGAAGGTGTTATTATTGTTATATGAAACAAAAACATTCTTGAGATTTGAAGTACAAAGATACGAGCCGAAGAACGTTTTGTATTGCGGAAATAACATTTCCACGTACGTATGTCAGTAACAAAGTACAATAAATGAAAATGACATATCACAACAAAAGAATAAATAACTCAGCAACAATTTTAAAATAAAATTTTGTTTATATTTTTTTATAAAAATGGAGAACGTTTTACTGAGAATATAAAAACTTTTAAAGTTAATGTTCTGAACTCGTTTCAGCACGTATAATCGGTTTAAGACATGTCCATATATATGCACATACCTATATGTACATACATACATGATTGCATTTTTATGTAGAATAACAAATCTTGGAAGAATACTTTATAAGGGCACAACATGTAAAAGGCAAATGTTGTGTCGCCGTAGACTTAACATTTCTTTTGCAGTCTCTTGGGTGGTATTTATGTTATACTTATACATATATGTATATTGATATTCGAGTCACCGAGATATCTTACATTAAATCTGTTCTGGAGGAAATAATGCCGACTCTCACCACAGATTTGCACAAATATTTTCATGGGCTAACGATTTAATGCAGTTAAAGCTTTTTATGGATCTTTGCATTCATAAAAAAATAATTTTTATTTTAATTTAATAAGTTTAAAACCCATACATTTTTGAGGATAGATTAAGACTTCTCAACAATAATTCGGTACAACTGCATGCATTGTTGAAATAACTTTCTAACCTTTTCTTTCATTAAGGAATAACATACGTGATGATGCATCGACGCCAATATCATACCACTTAAATGTATTTTTGTGCATTGGAAAACCATCGAGGCTTTATTGAAACCTAGAAATGCTTAAAAGCATCATTGCAGTGATACTTTTTTGATGTAAAGAAGGAATGAAGAATCAATATAATTGTATAGTAAAACTAATATAATTTTGTAGGGAAATCGTTATCGTTGCCACAAAGACTTCATTCAATAGTATCAACAAATAATCAAAAAATTTAAATAAAATTCATTTATATTTGTTAATATAAATATATTATTATATAAAATATTGAGGTGAAATACAGCATAGAGCAATGAATTTATTTCTCAAAGCTCTTAATAAAGCATCGATGTCAAAAGAATCACTGTAAGCTGCTGGGTAATGTGTGGCAATGATAGTTGCTGAAGAAGTAACGCTGCATTAACGTTGATGTATCGATTCTTTCTCCTGCTGGATGTATGAAGATTTTTGTTGGTAGGTTTCATCTAATAATCTATGGTATACTTATTTGTTGTCATGTGATTACTAATTGTAGCTCGTTAGTACATAAATACTTTATTAAAATAGTTGACATATTTTTATTTACAAATTCACAATAGAGTCTTCACTTATTAAATGAACTTATACTAAATGTTGTAATTTTCCTAATATAGAGTCAGCATATTACATCACTCAATAAGTCGTGTGACTGACACACAGATGACGTTGCCATTGTCAAATCTATATGACGTTCATGAAGTATGTGTAAATGTGTAAAATTTCATGTCATTTCGATTAGTTAGGAAAAAAGTG